TTTTTGATCAAAAGTGTACCTGTAGGGCCTCAGATTTGGTATACTAGCTCCTTCTTGGATGTTTATGGCATGATCACAGTCTCTAGCAGGAGGAAACTTCAACTGATCAGTAAACACCTCTAGAAATTTAGCAATGATGTCCTCCCAAACCTTGGCTTCCTTAGTATTCTGTTCCAAACCATACAATTGCCCTCCATAATACAGACAATATCCATCCCCTTCTTTCTGCAGAATCTGAAGCAGTCTTCATTGGAACCTCCCAATTATTCAGTGCAGCTTCCCCTTGGATACAATTTATCCTATCTTGTTGTTTCCATCTCATCACTTGCTTCTGAAAGTTCACTTCCATGTCTCCCAACTCAGTCAACCATGCCATACCCAAAACAATATCTGTGCCACCCAATTCCAGTATATAGTATGATTGATGTATGTTATTCCCCTGCACTTCCAGCTTCATTCCATCACATCTGCCATTATTATGGATGAGATCCCCATTGCCAATCTGCACTTTCACTCCTTGTATAGGCATAAAAGGTACTTCCCATCTGTCAATGAAACCCTGCGCTATGAAGTTGTGTGTTGCCCCACTGTCAATCAGAATGTTCACAGGTTGTTTTCCATCATCCCAACTCAACACACCTTGCACCTTGAATGTTTTCATGGATGGAATACCCTCCTTACTTAAAACAGAAAGTTGCATTGTTTTAAGTTGTTTGTGAGTATCATCCTCTTCTCCCCATTCCATTAATTCTCCTTCAGATTCATCTTCTCCTTCAGAATGCTCCACTAGAATCATCTTATAGTTCTTCATTTTACAGATATGACCCTTGCCCCAGTCCTCTCCACATTTGAAACACAAACCTCTCCTACTTCTTTCATGCAGCTCACTCCTGGATAACCTGGGACCTGATTTACTCATATTAGGTGCCTTAATGTCAGTATTGCTTCTGTAATCTGAGTTACTCTTTGGTAGGTTAGAGTTACTGTTCGTCATACTTTTCCATCTGCTTCCCTCACCCCAATTTGCTTGATAATTTGAGCCATTGTTCTTACTTAGCCCCTTTTTCTTCCCTTCCTCTCTGTTCTTCATCAACATTGCTTCATTATTTTTGTTCTCAATAAGAGAAGCTTGGCCCATGAGTTCAGCTAAGGTTCGTGTAGTATACAACTTCAGCTCAGCCCTGATATCTCTTCTCAGTCCCTTAAGAAAAACACCTTTCAGAACCTCCTCGGTTAAGTGTCCCTGGGACGCTATGGTTGTTTCAAACTTGTCTCTGTACTCCTTCATAGTTCCTCTCTGCTTTAAGCTGAACAACGGTCCTAATGGATCTTGTACCAGCTCTGGTTGAAAGCGTGTGGTCCAATCTTTCGTAAATGTCTCCCAATTCAAATGGCGAGTCTGGCCTTCCCACCATTGGAACCAGCTAAGTGCCTGGTCCTCCATCGCCAGAACTGCCAGGTCAATTTTGTCACGCTCATCAGTCTGATTCAACCTGAAATATCGATCCATCCTCATCAACCAACCAAAGGCATCCTCTCCGTTGAAAATCGGTAAATCGATTTTCCTTCCAGCTTTATTAGGATTCCGATGTTGATTATGGCGCTCGCGATCCTGATGCGAACCAGAGTGATCGGAATTGGTTTCAGAACCTTCCGAACTGTCATCACGCTTCGTCTGTTTCCTCTGTGATGATCAACGCGAAGAGTTCGATTGGTGTGAACGACTTCGTGATCTATCCGAGTTTCTGTTCTGCATTTCCGCTAGATTAGCTTGCATCGTGGCCAACGCGGTAGTGAAATTTGACTGCATCTCTCTCAAATTTCTCTCCATGCTAGCTTGCATCTCCCGCTGGCTCCTTTCAATTTCCGTCAATCTGCTTTCCATCTTTGCGCGTGTCACGGTCATCCAGCGATCAAACACGCTCTGATACCAATGATAGTAACAATTCGCAATCCACAATATACAATACGAACTTGAAACAATCCACAAACTTCATTAATGGCGGTATACAATACAATAGTCCCAAAGCTAGAGATAAGACTCTAACTTCCCAGTCCCAAGCCAAGCATCTAACAGACTGCCTAACTGCTAACTGGTTTATTCTATTTATAGTCCCCTCTCCTTACTAAAAGTAGTTAATAGTTCATAACAACTACCCGCCTGCCAAACAGTTAAACTCCTTCTTCTTTCTAGAATAGACTAAACCATATCTATTCTTATTATTTGTAATAGCCGGAGTCCTAACAGTATTTTTTACAAATTTATATACTACCTCCGTCCCATAAAACATGGCCAACGTTCCTTTTTTGGCTGTCCCAAAAAACTTTGCCATTTCCATTTAAAGTAACAAATATGTGGCTAAAGTTATTTCTCTCTCCTCTGCACAAATATCAACCACACAATTTTTACTTTATTAATCTACGTGCAAGTCAACATTGGCCAAGTTTTATGGGACGGAGGGAGTATATTTTATGTATAATTTGTTCGCATTCTCCGAGAAACAGGCTGTCAGGACTTGATTGGGGTTGTTTATAGCGTCCTCAGTTGGGTACTTGGGTTGGTGGACTTGAAGGATGAAGCCCATGTGTTATTACAACATTTGTCTTCACTCCCTATTCCCAAAGAGAAGGCAATTTGGAATTAGATCTTAGTTTGGGCTATATATGGCTTAAGCATGTATTAGATATTGAACTTTGAAGTACGTAACTATACAACTGAAGAGTTTTTCTCTTGGCTAACCAAGACATTGAAAATAGTAGTTCATGTGTTAGACGTGTATTGATACCACTACTGTTTGTTTCCTACCTTTCTTCCCCACAACTGATAAGTGATAAGGAAAGCACTGGAAGGGTTCACTGTGGAATTCTAGTATGATGCTTTAGTTTTACTGCGGTTAGATTCCTATTTTATTCTTTTCATTTTGAGGACATCTGGTATTCTAAAGGTATACTACTGAATGGATCCTGTGAGGACAATTTGTGGAACAACAAGCAGGAGTATGGCAGTAAATGTTTAGTGCAAGACTGAAAGGGCTTTTCAAAGCAGTTATAGCGTTTAATTTTTTTCCCATACATAAAATTGCATAATCCAGACATTTTCTCTAAAAAGGTAAGCTAAAACGACTAATAATATCTGCAATTTGGGTCCCAAATGTAATCTTTGGTTGATCAGAATAATCACTATAAGTGAACTGTTAAAGCCAACAAAGTGCAAAATTTCAGATAAGGTAGGAAAAGGAAGGGAAATAAAAAAATAATTGTAGGAAAAGGAAGGGAAATAAAAAAATAAAATAGGTGGGGACTGGAAGGGGAAAGAAGCAGGGGAAGGAAGAAAAGGTAGGAAAAGGAAGGGAAATAAAAAAATAAAATAAATGTATCTAAACAGATATAAAGCATTCATGCCTAATTTCGCTATGCTAATTTAACAAATAGTAATTTCATTCTGTTGATCAAGTTAATTGTACATAGTACTCAGTATATCTTATATGCTCATGGGCGGAGGTAGGGACATATAATTAGGCCTCTATACACCCCAAATTCAAAAACCCCTTCCTTAAATTTCATTTGTGCTGAAGTTTGCAAATCCAATAAGAATATCAGAGGAAAAGAGACATTGAGGAATACCATCTTAACAGTAACACAATGAGAACAACACAAAACAAACAAATCCCTAACACTTCTCCATTATCCTCCATTTCTCCAAATCGCTCACAGACAGAAATATCCAGTTGCCCTCCATTGACCGCTTTGACCGACTTCTTCCATAGGTAGGCGCTTGGATGCTTATGTTCTTCCGAACTCTAGGTATTATTTCCGTGATGTTGTTAATTTCTTAAATCAGAAAATATGAGGGTAATTTCTAATCCTATTGTATAGAAAGAGGTCTCCGTTTTGTTTCAGAATACAAACATATGAGGGTAATTTTTAATCCTATTAATTTTTTTTTCTTCAAAACATGCTTATGTTGGATTATGGTGCATATCTTGTTGAATATATTTTTTTATTTTCTTAAAAGATGAAGCGCAATATTGCTTTGCATTCGTTGTGGTTCTGCTTAATATGTTTGACATAGCTCAGTAGTCTTTGATTATTTTTCACAATGATTACCTCTGAAAACATAAGCTCAATAGTCTATAAATTAGTCTATGAAAACCATTTTCTGATCAAATTTAGCATTTCTATAATTACTTTTTGGAAATCTTTATATTTATTTCTCAGTTTTTAAAAATATCCATATTTAATTATGTCGTTTAGACTTCACTATAGTAATTGTTTTGAAGTGTTTTGTGATTTTGTGTTTCTTGGTAAGACTATCCACTAAATTTTTTTAAAGACTCGGAATTTGTGTTATTTTTCATTTGTCCTTGTTGGATCTTCTTTTTATCATGGTAGTTACTAGTTTGTTTCTTGACTTATTTCAGACAAACACATATACTTCCTCCATTCTTAAATATAAATAATTTTGTATTAGTAAAAAAATTAAAAAAATTAGATTATGAAAATTTACAATGAGACAAGTTTAATAATATTTTTTTCATAAAATAATATTATTACATTAATAAATAAAACGTAGTCAAAGTAGAACATGTGAATAGTGTAAAAGTCAAAGTGTTGCATTTATTTAAGAACGGAGGTAGTACATACATACTTCGTATATATGTGTGTACTATACATTACACAAGTGTATATATCTATGTATATGCACATAGATACATGTATATGTGCTATTTGAAATACCTTATTTGAGGATTCTTATTATTTTATGTGTATATATACATTCTATAAAGTAAAGCCATATGATGAATTGAAAATCACTAGAATGTGTAATCTAATGGGTTCATCAGTCTGCACCACTTTGGTTGAGGTCCAGTTTTTGTGCCTCTTATAATATTTAACCTAAAAATGCATTTCTACTAATATTTATCTATATTTTATGATTGTTTGGTTAGCATGTAACATTTCGTGTGTTTGGCATAAATGCGGAACGAGCAATATCACAGTAAACTTAAAAAGTCAAACGAAAGATCTGTCGCACTGGTCAAAGCAGGGTTAGACATTGTTGTTGCGGTTGGGTTACTTCAATTGGCACCCAAAAAAGCAACTCCACGTGTGACAGGAGCCTTGGGATTTGTCAGCTCTCTCATATTCTGTTATCAGGTAACCTCTAGGAGTTTATTACATAAATGCCTTGTTTGGGTTGGTCAGAATTGAATTCATTTTTTTCAGATTAAGATGCTAGGACTAAGGCTCTGTTTGGTATCAGAAGTCTTCTTACTATGCTTTGCCAAAATAACAAGAATATTCATTAAGTGGTGAGTCTAAGGGAGTATATTCCACTCCAATTCAAGCTTTCTCCAAACTCTAGTGTTTGTTGATTCCTGATGTTTCTGAATTTAAACATCGATATCACATGAGTAATACAGAAACCTCAAAATGTCGTGCATCATTGACCAACCATGATGATAGGATCCAGGCAGAATATGCTGAGAATAATAATAATTATAATTATAATTTTAATTATAATTATAATTATAATAATAATAATAATAATAATAAGAGTAGCATAAATAGAAGGTAAGGGAGGAAATAAGAGGGAGGCTGGAATTATCTTTTGGGTTTGGGACTTGGAGAGTTGGTACTCTTTAACGTATTCTCTCTCTGTGTGTGTCTCTTCTGTTGGCACTCTTTAAACCAAACCATTTATATATTTCTTAGGCTAAAGGGTCGAATAGGCCTCTGTACCCTTCACAAATTTGTAATTTTATAACCAATAGTGTCCCACTTTAATCACTCTACTTAGTATGGGCTGTAAGGATCATATTTGAACACTTCTATTATTCATCTGAATTGTGTATGCTTGCAAGTAAAACCAAACGAGGCAAATCTGAGGCTAAGGTGTAAAACATGCATACATGTCGGGTTGGCATTTCAAACCGAAAACCGAACCGAAAATAACTGAACCGTTTTGAAAAAAACGAACCAAACGAAATTGGGACCCGAAAAAAAAATCGGTTAGGATTCGGTTTTTGCACCCAAAAATATTGGTTTGGACCAAACCGAACCGACAATTTTATATTAATAATAACAATTGTTATTATTAATAATAAACAATAACGAAAGACATTTAATAAGGTATAATCAAACGTTGAGCATACATTGAACACACAAGGCGTGTTGTTGAGATGGTTTGCAGGGGAATATGTTTTGTTTTTCTGATTTTGAAGCTAAATCTCCTGGGCAAGTTCCACTTTGGTAAATGGGCTCATATGCCTACAAGGCTACATTTGGTATATCGGCTCAAATATGGGCAAGTTCCACTGGGCACAGTCAAATGTGTAATAGTTCAAAAATATTTATACTTCTTGAGTCAGTTTTTTGGTTTATGAAAAACCGAATCGAAAACTCGGGTACCAAAACTTGGGACCCGTTTTAATATTGGTTTAGTTTGGGTTATGGTAAATTAGAAAACCAAGAATTTTGTTAGCTTTGTTGATTCATGGGATTGGTTTGGGACCCGAATTCAGCCCGACATACATGTAAGAGTGAAGTAATGGTATAGTTGCTGGAATGTTCATATTTATTCTTTATGAATAATTTGCATAAAGAGCAGTTGTAGTAATCTTTATCAATTTGCAGTTGCTCCCTTCACCATCAAAGATGAAGATGGCTTGATGAGAGCTGCCAATGTTTGTCAAGTGATCACCACGTCTTTTGCTACAATAATTATGTGTAGAAAGGGGTTGTCTGTTGCTTATGTTGCTTCCCTCTGTTGGTGCACATTGTAAGAAGCTTATAAATCACGTTATGTTTTATAATACACCTTAAAATTATCCTTATTTCATTGGGGATGCATGTAACATGTCTCCCGTACTAGACTACTAGTTAAATAAGAAAAATCTCTAGTTAAACAATAGTAGTTAAAAAAATAGGTTTGAACAAAGCATATCTGGTATTAAGAAAAAAATCTAGTGCTCTGTGACATAAATGATTTATTTGCAACGGCATACCTTTGCAGAAGCATCTTTTACACATTCTGGTGTGCATTTCTCTCCCTAAAACCAAAGCATGTATAGATTAACTGAAAAGGGTAATTCATGCACCTGAAAATGCCATATCAGAATATGAGCAAACACGTCACTTTGATGTGCAGCTCTAAGTAAGTATCCTTCTACCTGTTGGAAATATGATAAAACAAATATTATTATGATGGGTCTCAATTTTGAGTACTAAGATATACGTAGTAATTGTTTAACATTAGAAATGGAGATGTTTCTTTTTAATACATCAAAGAACAACTTACATAATTGGATTTATTTCATTTAATGATTGGAATTCATAGTTGTAAAGGTTGTGAAGTGGTGTATTGTCTAAGTGAATTTTATTTTCAATACTATAAATAAATTGTCCCTTCCTCTTGTTAATATAATATGTGATAAGAAGCATTATTGTTCAAGTATCATGTAAGAATTGAAATAAATATTACTTCACATGTTTAAATCTACTCAGATTTGGAAAAATATATTAAATGGAGAGACATTTATTTATTTTACAGAACATAAATTTTATGGTTAAATAAACCTAAACATTTTTTTTTAATAATAAAAAACTTGATCCGTTACTTTGAGAGTGTAAAGGCGGGTTGAAATTGAATTTGAAATTGTCGTTGCTAGATCAAAGTAAACGTTTGGGATCAACTAGGGTTGGACTCGGGTCACGCCACCCGGCCCGTGGACCGGCCCGGGTAGGTATTTTAGTGAACCGGCCCGGCCGGGCCGAAACGATCATATTTTTTTTTTAAATACTTAAAGGCTTCATAGCCGTTGGGAGAGCTCCCAAACGGCTCTGTAGCCATTGGGAGCATAGGAGGGGGGGTCTGCGGGGTTAGGGGGTGGGGTGGGGGTGGGGTATACAAAAAAAATCTATTTATACTCCTATTTTCTATACATTTTTTACACCTCTTCTTCTACAACTCTTCCTACTCTCTAAATTCTCTATTCTCTCAATCTCTCATATTCAATCATCTTCATTCTTCATCTTCTCCAAATTCTTTCTACATATATATATAATTTATATAATTATTATATCTACTTATATATTAATTATCTACTTATAAATATATACTTATACACATTCATATTATAATTCTTTACACATTATATTATATATACTATATATAGTTATACATTATATTATATATTACTTATAATATATTTACACATTATATTATTTATATATACTATATCTACTTATACTCATTGATATAGACTTATACACATTCATACATTTTATAAAAGTAGTTAGTTGTTAGACTTCTTGTTTATCTATTAAATTACTTAATTGTTTCATTTGGCATCAGGTGTGTTCATTTGGCAAAACTTGCTACTCCGTACTATTTAGATGTAATTTTATGGTGTTTTTTGGCTTTGCATTTATGGTGTTTTTGCCTTTGCATTTATTGTGGTGTGATATCATAGCTTAGCATAGGGATGGACTCGGGCCGGGTGGCCCGACACGGAACCGGCCCGGGACCGGCACTGTTCCGGCCCGGCCGACCCGGTGGCCGGGTCAGTGACCGGTCCGGGTAGGCCCGGCCCGTGGGTTTTCCGGTCCGGGCTCGGGTCACCCAAAACAAGGCCCGACCCGGTCGGGCCCGGGCCCGGTTCGGGCCAATTTTTTTTTTTTTTTTTTCAATTTTTTTTAACTTTTCGGGTTGGGCTGGGTATTTTGGGCCATTTGGGGTGGTTTGGGGGGTTGGGGGTGGGAGGGGGGTTAATTAGGAAGAGGAAAACAAAAAAAAAAATATATAATGGGTTTGGCCCGGCCCGGCCCGGACCCGGACCGGACCCGGTGGTTACCCGGGCCGGTCCCGGGTCCACCATTTCTGACCCGCCGGCCCGCCCGGGCCTAGGCCTGACCCGGACCCGGCCCGGACCCGAGTCCAACCCTAGCTTAGCACATGACTCAAGAGGTACCTCTGGAGCTCTTAATAATAATAATAATAATAATAATAATAATAATAATAATAATAATAATAATAATAATAATAATAATAATAATAATAATAATAATAATAATAATAATAATAATAATAATAAGAATAATAAGAATAATAAGAATAATAATAACAATAACAATAACAATAACAATAACAATAACAATAACAATAACAATAACAATAACAATAACAATAACAATAACAATAACAATAACAATAACAATAACAATAACAATAACAATAACAATAACAATAACAATAACAATAACAATAACAATAACAATAACAATAACAATAACAATAACAATAACAATAACAATAACAATAACAATAACAATAACAATAACAATAACAATAATAATAATAATAATAATAATAATAATAATAATAATAATAAGAGTAACATAAATAGAAGGTAAGGGAGGAAAGAAGAGGGAGGCTGGAATTATCTTTTGGGTTTGGGACTTGGAGAGTTGGCACTCTTTAACGTATTCTCTCTCTGTGTGTGTGTCTCTTCTGTTGGCACTCTTTAAACCAAACAATTTATATATTTCTTAGGTTAAATGGTCAAATAGGCCTCTGTACCCTTCACAAATTTGTAATTTTATAACCAATAGTGTCCCACTTTAATCACTCTACTTAGTATGGGCTGTAAGGATCATATTTGAACACTTCTATTATTCATCTGAATTGTGTATGCTTGCAAGTAAAACCAAACGAGGCAAATTTGAGGCTAAGGTGTAAAACATGCATACATGTAGGGTTGGCATTTCAAACCGAAAATAACTGAACCGTTTTGAAAAAAACAAACCAAACGAAATTGGGACCCGGAAAAAAAATCGGTTAGGATTCGGTTTTTGCACCCAAAAATATTGGTTTGGACCGAATCGAACCGACAATTTTATATTAATAATAACAATTGTTATTATTAATAATAAACAATAACGAAAGACATTTAATAAGGTATAATCAAACGTTGAGCATACAATGAACACACAAGGCGTGTTGTTGAGATGGTTTGCAGGGGAATATGTTTTGTTTTTCTGATTTTGAAGCTAGATCTCCTATCATATGTTGAAGCAGCCTCGGGTAAATGGGCTCATATGCCTACAAGGGCTACATTTGGTATATCGGCTCAAATATGGGCAAGTTCCACTCGGCA